CCCGGAATCTGTTATAATTCCTACGGTCGTAGGTAGCTCTAGAACCGGCGTATAATACAGCTTCCGAAGGGAACGGTACGAGCTCGTCTATCTGCCTTGAAAGGCTGTAGCAACGACAACAGAACCTCCTCCGACGCGGGTTGTATAGTCTACAATAGTAGCAGAGAGGTAGTTCTCTAATAGTAGCATCGATATATCGCGTACGTATTGTATAGCACCGTTCTATCGACGAGGAAGCACCCGCTTAACGTTGAACCTGTCGAGCCCTAGAGGAACGATATATTATTATATCCTACAATAAATACTATATCTAGCAGCCCTCCGTTGCGCTGTCTCGATACCCGTCCTCTCTAGAATAGAGACCGCCCCTCCTTATTTTTCTAGTACTGCTCTCGTAGGAGATCCCTCGAGATACAGGAATAGAGACAGACAGTGTCTTGTATACTGTCGCTCGTCTCGAATCGATCTGTTGTAACCCTTACCCTAACTGCTCGACCGAGACCTATCCTCCTATATAGCCTCTCTATACCTACCGAGCTACGTCGACTACAATTAAGGCAGCTAGCGTATATTGCGAATAGAAAGGCTATAGCTAGGCCGATCGTATATTTGTTATACCTATATCGTAAGGAGATAGAGGGTCCGACGTCGCCCTCGACGCCCCGAGGCCGTAGAAGCTAGGAGGTATACCTTCCTAACCCTAATCTAGAAGGCGCGGCTCGAGAGGAAGGGCGTCGCTCTACTGCAGGCCTAGACTATCCTTATCCTCCTCGCATAGGCCTTCGCGCTCTCTACCCTATCGTACGCGTAGTGTCTCCGTCGACGGCTACTAACTACATTATACAGTACAGGCCGTCTCGGGAGATACCTACCGCCCCCTCTAGCCCTCCGGGCAAAGTACGGTCTACTATTACATCGTGCCTCTATCTGCCGGGCATCTGACCGTACGGTCGTCGCATTTGGTCGAGTCTGCCTATCTCTATCTCTACGTTCACATAGTGTCCTCTTATCCTCCCGAACTGCCCCTCCCCTCTCCCTCCTACTCGACGACGCCTCGCCTCCTACTCGAGAGTCCCCTAGAACATCTACCTCCTGTCGTCGTCATCGCGTACCCGCCGCCCTCCCTGCCCTCCCCCCCGCCTCGCCTCCCTCCTCTCCTGCCCGGCCCGAGGGCACTCTTGCGTGTCCCGGATCCGCTCGTCCTCGTCGTCCTCTTCCTTACCCTCCTGCTCGGTCGTCGGGGGCGCCTCTATATCTAGGAGTGACCCTACGGGACTCTGTTGTCCGCCCTCCTCCTCCCCGCCCTCCTCCTCGCCCGACTCCCGATAGCAGTGCTTCCGATCGAGACATGAAAAAGCAGCATAGAGGGGCCCGAGACAGTCGTCGAGCATCTCCTTGGTCGAACGCCGACATCTGCTACAATACCAGCCCTCCCGCTCCCAAGTCGCGCAGCCGAGGAACATTTGTAGCCTCTGTACGACGCGGACCCTCTTATATACCCGTCGCTCGTCGGCTGCACCGCCCTCGTCCTGTTCCTGCGAATAGGATCCTACGTTAGAATGCGACCGGGAATGCCGACCTGAACGCGAACGTGAACGCCGGCCGCCCGCTAGCCTACCTCCCTCCTCGCCGTTAACGTCCCCATCCTCCTCGCCCTCCTCCTCCTCCTCCTCGTCCCCAATTCTACCCGCCCTCACATTGTCTGCCCTCTTGCGCTTCCGCCGCCCGACCCCTCCTCCGCTACCAGCCTTACCGCGCCCTCTCGCCGAAGCTGCCTAGTTGCCTACCACTCGTAGTATAACCTTGTCCTCCTGTAGCTCAGGCATAAATGCCTCCGCCGTCCGACGGAGTGCTCCCTAGCCACTACGCGCATTTAATACGGCAACGTCAGATACGATTATACGCTTATCTAGCGGCGCCCGACTGCCTGTACGCGTACGTCGCTCTGGGTTAAGTCTAGTATCGCGCGCCTTCAACCATGCGTCCTGCGCCGCGTCGATAGTAAAGCCTTGCTTGCAGTTCGCTGCGATAGCATATAACAGTCGCTTCGACGCCGCCTTCGGAGAAGCTGCTATTGTCTGCGTCTCGGGCCGCAACTTGTCCTACCAGTCTTTGCCCCAGGCCGCGTCGATAATCCGCAAGCTCCCGAGCTTCGTAGAAATCGTCGATAGCCCTAGCGTCAGGTTCAGTCGCAAGATCTCAGCATTATCTAGAGTCGCGAGCAGTCCTGGAAGCTTCCGTCGCCTATTACCGGGGATTGCGTCCAGCCGAAGTTCGAATAGCGCATACTAGAACAGATATACAATCGTATTCTGCGCGCCTTCTAGATAGTCCCCAAATTCGCCTAGGATCTCGCACAACCTCTCCTCCGGCGGTCGCGTATCCTCCTCACAACGCAGGCGCTCTAAGAGCGTACCCTCTATCCCCTCCGACGACGTCCGTCCTAGCTAATCTACTACGTCCTGCCTTAGGATGTACGCTAGCCGGGCTTTGAGGTCTCCCGCGTTCGCAGCGTAGACCCTATCTAGCTGCGTCCCCGTCGTCGCGTCGGCCGGGTTATATAGGAGTACGGCGGTCGTATCGGCGTCGGGCGTCGACATCCTACTATTGCGCAAGCTCGAAGAAGGGCGTCGAGAAGGGCAGCTGGCCGAAGAGCTATAGTATACATCCTCTCTTTCCTCCTCTTAGTAGCCTAGTATATCGCTTGCCGCCAATCGTCCTAGCTCCCGCCCTCCTCGATTCGAATCCCCCCGAGAAGATTCGCTCGATCGCTATCGGGTTAGGAAGCCCTCTATTGGCGTCGTCGCTAGGAGATTACCTACTAGGGGACCAGCTGAGGGCCTCGCCTCGAAGGAAGCAATCGGCGACAGTGCCGGACATACGGTCGCTCGCCCTGTCGTTAGTCGTTACAATAGGATACCCGCACTGCTACTACCGGGACTACCGCCGGACCTGCCCCGAACGAACTTCGCTGGCTAGCGTCGTCGCACTACAGGTAGAAATCTACCCTTGCCCTATACTAAGAAGGACTACGAGGCTGGGGGGAGTACGGCCTTACTGATCCGAGCACTATACTCACCCTATAGGCCCTCGCTCGCTCGATATAGGACGGGTACAGCACTCTATCCTCGTACGACCTAGTATAGATTCCCAAGTTGCTACTATTATTTCTCTAAGCATCCTACAGCGGTACCGCGCCTAGTCGCAGTCGCCTACCCTATAGCCGATAAGATCTCGAGCTGCTCCTACTAGTCCCCTAGGGATCGCTAGATCCTTACTGGACTGGTCGGTACGGCGTACGTGTCGCTCGCTGGAGATCTACTCCCTACTAACAGGAGATAGATCGCAAAGTTTGTTACAGACAGACGATAGCTAACCCGTACCCAACGACCAGGCGACAATCCTACATCCCTTAGGAGGGCGCCGGCGCTGGAGCAATAGCTATAGGTCGTCGTCCCCTAGCGCTATTAAAGCTACTATTGTAGACAGCAGCCTGCCGGGCGCTATATCCCTCCTCTCCGACTCCCTACGCTCACTCCCCCTCGAGCCGTACTAAACGACCTCGCCTACGCCCTATCGCCTCTCCTCTCGATCCTTAACGCCGTACAATAGACGCCCTCGCCCAGGTGTTCACTTACCTTCCCGACCGCCGTATCCTCGTATGCAATCGGTGCGAGCACGCCGTCGTCCCCGAGGGCGTTTCGACCTACCTCCTCCGGAAACACAAATCTCTAGACCTCGAGTGTCGACGTCAAGTCATCGAGGCCGTCGCGACCCTTCCTAACCTCGCATACCGCCCCGAGGACGTTATCTACCCTACCGCCGCCGACGAGCCTGTTCCCGGGATTCCTATCTACACTAGATTCGTATACAACTACCGGTCGTCGGACGGGAGAGTATATAGCCGGGTATACCAAACGTACCAAGCTATCCGGGACTATTCGGTAGAGAACCATAGCATAGTCGTCCAGAGCAAGGCTAGCAATAAGAGGACGCAGTTGAAACAGATCCCGAATGGCTAATAGAGGGTCGGTGTCTCCTACCAGACGCTCTTCTAGGCCTATAAGTAGAAGACCAACACCGAGGTACGATTCCAGGAGACGACGAGAGAGGACGACGGAGAGCCGCCGCTGCCGCGTAAGCGCGGCGCCGACAATCGCGAGTCCTTTGTCGCTACGGAACTCGAGCTTCTGAAGCTGCGCTACCGGGAAAGAGACGCTGCCCTCCAGAGGGTAAGCTCTGCGTCTGGGCACCGGTCGACGCTCGAGGACTAGGTCTCTTCGATAGGCATTCTCGTACACCTCGCCGAGCTCGATCGCGAGGAGATTAAGGCCTCGTACGCGCTTCCCCCTCCTTCGGCCAGCAGCGAGCCGTTCCTCGCCGCCGTCCTCTCCTACCTCGACACCGCTCTAGGTCGAGCGTACGACGCCGCTCGACCGGGCCCAGCTTGCTGCCTCTCCGTCCCCGGCCGTATAGCGCTAGTTCCGTAGGCGCTAGAGGGTAGCGCAAAGCCCTTCCGCGTCGGCAAGGAGGTAGACACCCTTCGCAGATACTATACTATAGCCAAGCAGCTCGTCTGCTACGCCGCCCGCGTCCTGTTCGGTACTGGTCACTTTACCGCCCCTTCCGTTAACCCCGGCACCGTTATTCGCGCTAGCCCGCTAGCCTAAAGGGCATAGCAGGCGCTGCAGGCCGCCCTCGACGAGCGCGGAGACTACTCCGCGGAGGACATCGACGTCCTAGGTCAGACGATCTCGCTGCTTATAGGCCTGATCCGGGACGAGACGGCAGGCTACTCGGCCTTCGTGTCGCCGCTCGTTAGTTTCAGCGCGATGCTCGCTATCTTACCTAGTACAGGCGCCTAGATCGAGCCGCACAACTATACGAGTTACCTATCCGCTATTATCTGGATTACCTAACTCGTCGTCTTCGACGCCTGTCGCCGCGCCTTCCGCCCCGACCAATTGACCGATGCTATCCGCACCGTAGCTAGCAACTATCTATCCCCCTCCGGAGAGACGGCAGTAGGCGAGGTCGTCCGTCTCCGGAGGCAGTTGATGTACTATACGCGCTCTACCGTCTCCCGCCACTATATGAGCTAGGAGAGCAGCACGGTCGCCTGCTACCGCGGCGTAAGCTACGATATGAGCCGTATTGGAGCCGTTATCCGGAGGGCGTACCGTAACGCCTAGCACGTCCTCTATCGCACCCTCCTCGGCGGCCGGACCCCTCTCCCGATAACGGCCGACCGGCTGTAGGATGATATTGGCAACTCGACGCCTGGCTTCGACTTTACGCGCCACCGCGCCAACGAGCATCTTATCACGCATACACAGCCCTTCGCGCTCCGCGCTATCCTCGACACCGGTATCGAGCCCTTCGTCGAGGGATCTAGGAAGGAGATCCGCTAGGCCGATAACGCCCTATCCTTATACGAGGCCGAGGTACAGATGTTCCTAGAGCACCTCGCGGCCCTGATCTACCTTACCGGCGGCTAGCCGCTACGCGCGTCCGAATTTATGTCGATGACGTAGTCGAATACGATGTCGCCTCGGTCCATCGCTATCTACCAACGCCGCGTAGTCATTTACGTACGGTACTACAAGGGCCTCGCTATTACCGGGCAACTAAAGCAGAACGTCCGCTTCCTCTACCCGGCGGTGTCGAACCTCGTCCTGGATTACCTCTGCTACGTACAGCCTCTGCGATACATCCTCGGCAAGCATACGTCCTCTACGTACGAGCAGTCGGCCTACCTGTAGGAGAGCTACGGGAAGCGCTGGCCCGCCGAACGTCTAAGCACCGTCCTCCGTAATGCTACTTCCCGAGCGGCAGGACCGCCGCTCTCGGTGTTTACCTGGCGACAGTTAACGGTCGGGATTGTTAAAACCTATCTCGCAGGGTTACGCTCTACGTTCGATCTCGGTCCGGACCAAGGCGAGGGCGAGGGCGAGGGCGAGGACGAGGACGAGGACGATATGGAAGCCGTCCTCGCCCGCCAGCGGAACCATACACTCTGGACAGCACACCACCGATATGCTAACCAGGTCCATTTTAGCGCCGGCCTATAGGACGGGCTCCTCGTCGTAGGCCGTAAGGCGTCGGATGCGTAGCAGGACTACTAGGACCTCGATCGCCTCTTCGATATGCCGAGCAACGAGCCGCAAGTCGAGCCCGACCTCGCCGTCCGCCTGAAGAGGACCCGAGTGCATAAGGACGACGATAGCGCTACGCTGCTCGCCGCGGCCCGTCGCCTCACCGGCATTGCCGACTTCAAATGGCGCTCCGTACAACAGCTCGCAGCGCTGCGTACGATCCTAGGGGGGGCAGAGGAGATTGTCGTCGTTATGCCTACAGGGGCTGGCAAGAGCCTGCTGTTTATGCTCCCCGCGTCACTCTATACCGCAGGCACTACGGTCGTTATCCTACCTCTTATCTCCCTCCGCGCTGATATAGTATACCGCCTTCGCTCCCTCAAACTGGACCACTCGGTCTGGGCGCCTAGGAGTCGCCAGCGTGCGCCCGTCGTCCTCGTTAGTATCGAAGCCGCCAGTACGCGAGACTTTATAGAATACGCGCAGGGCCTCGTTGCGGACGGCCAGCTCGACCGAGTGGTAATCGACGAGGCCCACCTAACCATTGCTGCCCTCGAGTACCGCCCGGTAATGAACGCGGCCTCCGAGCTCCGCCGTCTCCGTACCCAGTTCCTCTACCTTACCGGTATGCTCCCCCCTAGCATAGAGGCCGACTTTCGCCGGCACAACTGCCTCGCTATCCCTACGATCCTGCGTATAGACTGTAACTGCCCCCAAGTCGTGTACACTATCGAGCGCTGTCCCGAACCGGCCGACGAGCTGTATAGCTAGGCATGCTCCCGCATTCTCTACGCCCAGGAACACCCTAAGTTCCAGCGGTCGTACGATCGTATCCTGGTCTATAGCAATACCCGCGCCGAGGCCGCCGAGCTTGCCGGACGTCTCGACTACGAGGCCTATACGTCCTACTCTAGCAACGAGGAGGACAAGTTAGCTATCCTCGACCGCTGGATAGGAGACGGAGGCAGTACCGTCCTAGTCGCTACTGCCGCCCTCGCAGAGGGCTTCGACCGGCCTAATATCCGCTATATCGTCCACGTCGGCGCCCCTACGGCCTTTACTAGCTACCTCTAGCAAGTTGGGCGAGCAGGTCGTAACCTCCGTACCGCGTATGCCTACGTCCTGCTGCCCGGCGACTGGGCACCGGGACAGGATGCTAGCGTAGAATGCGACGGAGATGCGTCGTACGGGCTGCTCGACTACGATATAATCCGCTAGCGAGAACGGGTCGCTATAGATCGCTACCTCGCCGCTCAACAATGCCTGCGGCTAACGATCCGCTAGCACCTAAACGCCCAGAGCGTCAAGCAGCACGGCTGTATAGGGAAGGGGATCGACAAGGACGCCTGCCCGGAATGCGCTGAGGAACGGCGGGAGCAGGCATGCGGAGAGGTCGACGAGCTCTGCTGCGTATGCCTACCGCCGCCCCGGCCTCCCCCTACGCAGGTTCGCGTCTCGACCCCCTCGGCTACGGGCGTAGTAGATCCGGCAGCGCCTCCGTACTATCGACCGTCCTCGCCCCGTACCGGTCCCCCGTCGTCGGGCACCGTAGCGTCCTCCCCCTTAGCCGCTCGCGTATTCTCACCGCCTAGTCGACCGCACTCTACTGCCGCGTCTGGAGTATATACTCCGCGCAGTTCGGTCTCGATCGCCCTTCCCTCCTCGCCCTCCCAACCGCCGAGCTTCCGCGCCGCTAGCCTACTCCTCGACGACGCCTCCCGTCGTTCCGTCGCCGAACTCGACAGCTACCGGCGCACCCTCGCCGCGCTCCTAGGCCGGTGCGCGTTTTGTCTCGTAGCAGGCGAGCACGCACTGCACAAATTCAACGAGTGTCGTAAGAGAAACCGCGTCCTCTACTACAAGACAGAAGCTATCCGGCGTAACCGCTAGCAGTGGCTCCCGCGATACGTGGTCTGCTTCTACTGCTACCAACCGCAGTCTGTATGTAAGCGGGTTACCGATAGCGGTTCCTGCCTGTATCCGGACGTCGTTATCCCTACGGCCGTAGCCGTATTCGCGGACGGAAGCGCTCGCAAGTACGAATGGCTCAAGCAGGAGTACGGCCGTACTTTCGACACCCGGGAAAAGTATATCGACTAGCTCGGAGGCAAGACCAAGTTCGGCGGCGGCGACGCTATCCAGGCGGTCCGGGTTGCGGCTCGAGCATTAGGTATTGCACTCGGTACTGCTAGCGAGGAGCCGTAACCTCGCTAGCCGGCCGGTAGCGGCCTCGTGTCCCGTACGGCCTTCTTAATAGCAGGACGGTCGTGCACACGCCGCACTCGGCTCCCGCGGGGCTAACGGCACTAGCAGCACCCTCTGCGGCAGGGCCGCGCACGAGAGCGACATAAACCGGCGGTCCTAGCGGGGCCAGGTCACGATAGGGGCGGCAGTCGTCCTATTCCGGCAGGGTCGGTCACTAGAGGGACGGCCGCCGTCAGGACTGGCGGCAGGGTCGTATATACGCCGCACTCGGCTCCCGCAGGGCTGACGGTACCAGCAGCACCCTCCGCGGCAGGGCCGGGCACGAGAGCGACACAAACTAGCGGTCCTAGCAAGGCCGGGTCACTAGAGGGGCGGCAGTCGTCAGGACTGGCGGCAGGGTCGTGTATACGCCGCACTCGGCTCCTGTGGGGCTGACGGCACCAGCAGCACCCTCTGCGGCAGGGCCGCGCACGAGAGCGACATAAACCGGCGGTCTTGGCCGGGCCGGGTTACCAGAGGGGCGGCAGTCGTCCTATTCCGGTAGGGTCGGTTACTAGAGGGACGGCCGCCGTTAGGACTAGCGGCAGGGTCGTGTATACGCCGCACTCGGCTCCCGCGGGGCTGACGGCACCAGCAGCACCCTCTGCGGCAGGGCCGCGTACGAGAGCGACATAAACCGGCGGTCCTAGCGGGGCCGGGTTACGATAGGGGCGGCAGTCGTCCTATTCCGGTAGGGTCGGTTACCAGAGGGACGGCCGCCGTCAGGACTGGCGGCAGGGTCGTGTATACGCCGCACTCGGCTCCCGCGGGGCTAACGGCACCAGTAGTACCCTCTGCGGTAGGGCCGCGTACGAGAGCGATATAAACCGGCGGTCTTAGCTAGGCCGGGTTACTAGAGGGGCGGCAGTCGTTCCGTTCCGGTAGGGTCGGTCACCAGAGGGACGGCCGCCGTTAGGACTAGCGGCAGGGTCGTGCATACGCCGTACTCGGCTCCCGCGGGGCTGACGGCACTAGCAGTACCTTCTACGGCAGGGCCGCGTACGAGAGCGACATAAACCGGCGGTCCTAGCGGGGCCGGGTTACGATAGGGGCGGCAGTCGTCCTATTCCGGCAGGATCGGTCACTAGAGGGACGGCCGCCGTTAGGACTGGCGGCAGGGTCGTGCATACGCCGCACTCGGCTCCCGCGGGGCTGACGGCACTAGCAGCACCCTCTGCGGCAGGGCCGCGCACGAGAGCGACATAAACCGGCGGTCCTAGCGGGGCCGGGTTACGAGAGGGGCGGTAGTCGTTGGCCGGCAGTCCGGACGAGATAAGTCTCGACTACGGTACGGGGGCAGTCTAGGTTACATTTCAGAGATAGGTTAGGATCGATAGGGGAGAATAGAATTCGTTTAGTGACATTGTATACGCCTACGCAGATATATTACGTCGCCCGAGCCGGTTCGAGGGAAAAAACAGAACCTCTGCCCCCTAACTATCTAGTACAACCTCCCTACCCTCAAAGCTCCCATAGCCCCTCGACGAACTCTCCCAATACTAGGGTGCCCGCAATCGCCTCTCGAATCGGCCTTATACGGCCAACGTAGAGTAGCGACGGAGTCTTTTTCGCGGCAAGGGCGACAGCACACATGCATACGATAGTACCGCAGTCGGTCGGGTTCCGCTACTACGAGGACTCGGCGGGACGATTGGTCTCTAACGTGTCGCGCCACTGATCCTCTCGGTAGAGTAGACCGAGGAAGCCCTCTAGGAAAGGGCGTACTAACTCGGCTTCGAACCCCGTATACGGCACAACGTTAGCCAAACTATTTAGCGTCGCGAACATCTTCTTCGAAGGGAAGATAACGTTAAGGGTCTAGTGGCCCCGCCTGCAGCGCGGGAAGAAGACTATATCGAGCTTGAGAAATGTATCAGCGTCGGGGACGCTAGTACGATAGAATTTCGACCTTATCGCCTGTAACTACAGCGCCCTCGACATCTCGCCCGACCGGTGCTTTTCTACTAGAGCTGGCCACTATAGCGGCGAGCACTCAATTGCCCGTATCCCTTTATTGTCAATGTCGATAACAGGGGCCTGTAGTACCGCCCTCCTCCCCTTCAGATTCAAGTCCTTGCAGATTATCGTTAGGAACCTATCGATGGCGTCGTCGTCGAGATAGGCGTCCTAGTAGCGGGCAGCTTCGGTACGTGCCCCAAAGTCCAGGATACAGCTTAGGGTTCGCTAGTCGACAGGATCTTGGTTTTCGGCGGTCTTTCGGTATGCTGTACCCCTGCGTCGTTCCATAATGCTAGTAGTACTATCGACCACGTTGGGTAGCATAACGGCGCAGTCTACAAAGGGCATTACGAACGTCTTGCTAAGAGAGAAGGGGGCCGCTTCGGAGGACGCCATAATAGTAAGAGGTCGTTGAAACTGCCTAGGAGCTAGTAGTGGTTAGCTGATATCAATTCCAGCGGCGATACAGTACAGGGGCCCTTACCTTAGTTAGGCCAGGTCAGGTCAGGGTAGTTCGAAGGGTAGAGTAGCGAAGTGGAGGCTTGGTTGGGTCGACGGTTGGAAGTGTAGATAGGAGGGAGCAGGGTAGCGAAAGGCGTGCCTTTTGTATACTAGACTGACTGCGCCTTCTACAGGCAAGTAAGGAGGGCAGTTGATACGGTAAGCAGGTAACGCTAGCATTGTGCGCAGGGCACAAAGCGTACAAGTAAGCCGCATCCGGATACGCTTTATTCACTTGGTACAGGGCCTACGTACGCCTGCTACAGGCGGCTGCCAAGCGCAGAACAAAGGGTATAAGCAGCGTAAATCTGAGTAAAAGGGTCAGTTAACATAGCGAACAGGCTGCGCGAGCATATGCCCGGGGCACAAAGCCTAAACGTAAGCCGCATCCGGTCCCGGCATACCGTATCCGGTCCCGGTATACCTTACTTAGTATAGGGCGGACGTACGCCCAGAGCGGCCTGCTGCCTCGCCGACGCCTATTATTACAGGATCTCTACCTCCTGCGCTCGCAACCGCCGCCTCTCCCTTATTACCCTCCCCCGTTACAGGCATACGCCTATACGCCTACCCGCCTCCCTACCTCTAGCGCCTAGTGCTTCTAAGTGAAAGGGGCAGCTGAGACGGTAAGCCGGTGACGCTGGTATTGTGCGTAGGGCACAAAGCGTAGAAGTAAGCCGCATCCGGGTATACCTCACTTAGTATAGGGCGGACATGCGCCCAGAGCGGCCTGCTGCCTCGCCGACGCCTATTATTACAGGATCTCTACCTCCTGCGCTCGCAACCGCCGCCTCTCCCTTATTACCCTCCTTCGTTACAGGCATACGTCTACACGCCCACCCGCCTACCTGCCTATACGCCTATTTGCACCTGCTCAGACGTCCCCACTTAGACGCACCCGCTCAGACGCGTACCCGCACAGACGCACCCGCTCGTATATACGCTCGCTCGAACACACGCTTGCTCGAACATACGCTCGCTCGAACATACGCTCGCTCGAACACACGCTCGCACGCACGCACGCACGCACGCACGCACGCACGCACGCACGCACGCACGTACGCACG